ATAAAATCTGAAATTTACGTCAAGTGGGAAGTGTAATTGAAATTGTATCTAAATATGCTATGTGAATATGTGAGAGAAAAATAAAATAGTCATGAGTTCATTTTATACTGGAATTTAGATTGTTCCCGTCCCGTACATAGCGGATTGGTGACATTTATTTTTATCACTTAAAACTGCGTTGTCAGTCGTCTTGTGGTAGTGCCTTTAGTGGTGATCAAGACTTGTATATGCAAATCGCCTACTATTATTTTGTATAGCATTTATTTAAGTCATAAAAATTTACTTGTATATGAATGAGTTTTTTTTTTTTTTTATAAGTACACAACTTTATGCCATTTATGCAATTTTATTGAAGGAAGCCGAGAGATCAATGACTCGACTGCATCGTATCCCATTGACTAAGTTTGGGCAGGTCAGGTTTACGTTATGCGTCATAGAATCTATAAAATTGTAACAAAACTTGCAGCTGCTTTCAAAATCAATTATAATTTATTTTTTAATATAAAATAAAAAAATTTTTATTTTAATTATAGATGCTTTTTTGAGTTATTATTTATTAATTTCTTATATATGGTTTACTACTTATTATTATTTATATATAATTAATTATTTATAAGTTTTATAATTTATAAATCGAAAAAATTTATTAAACATATTATTTGTTATTGAAAGGTCTGATATTGTTCCAATTTTGTGCCACGTTATGAGTTCCTTATCAATAAAAAAGTATTTTTTGTTTGAGTCCAAGAATGATTCCAATAACAAAGCAATTTTTGATACCTTGGATGAATTGAATCGACTTACAGATGAGACATGTGCTAAAGGTAGAAGGCTATAGTGGGAAAGCCAAGATAAGAGCTATACGGTGACTGAAATAAAACTTCCCATTTACTATTCGCGAGCAAGTTTTTGTTTAAATATTTCAACCATTATTTGGTAATAATAGCTAGGTTATAGTTTATAGCCAGATTTTAACGGTTACCTCTCTGGATGATAACTCTCTGAACTCTACTGCTATTACTAACTACTTAGGCATCATTAGGTATTAGTGCCAATTTTACTGCTTGGACTTGTCATATGATTTTTTTCATCTGGTATTGTAGAATATCCACTTTTCATCATTAGTAATATTTTGATATTTAGTTTTTTTTTTGTTATTCGTATTTTTTTAAATTATTTTTTACAAATAATATTTTAAATTATACTTCTAAATTGTTTTGTTTATTTCTGTCTGATTTTATTTTAAAAAAAACTTTTTGGAAATTCTTTTTTGTTGTGTTAGCTAGGTTTTGGGTCTAGGTTTCTATGCGAATCTTTATGCAACTTCATTTATACCTTGCATGGGTCCGTTGCTAGTGCTCTTGTTTCAAACTGTTACTCTCCAAAACCACTATGATGGTTTCTATAACTCATTCCGGGAAAAAATTATTGTTTTCTTTGAAAATGTTGTGCAATTTTCAATATCATTTTTTCTGACACTTTTTTGGGGTCTTCGAAAAAGTGCTTTCTATGTATTATAGCTTTGCTCCTTGTCAAGGTTGGACATTTGCGCAACAGGTGGTCTTGTTAGTGATTATTTTTCCTCTTGGCAGATGCTACAAATACTGCCAATTAGAACTCCTATTGCCAGATATAATATTGCTGATTTCGGTTCTACGCAAGTTTATTAGTTTCTTAGTTTTATAGATGGGTTGTCCATTACACAGGTTTGTTTTATCTTGCCGCAAGTAGTTCTTTTTTTCACCTTAATGTGTTTTTTTTTTGAGTAGAGATGAGTGCGATATTTAATAGATATTGATTAGTGTGAAAACAGCTGATAGCTGCACCTTTATGTGCCAAAAAAAGCTTAGCAGTTGATTTGTGTTACATAAACTATTATATGTATTAAAATTTGGTATCTTCAAATTTGTTATATATTATTTATATTTGTTTTTTTTTTTTTGCAAATACTAATAAATTTGTTTTTCATAATTAACCATAACATTTTTTTTTTAATAATTTTAAACTTAAATGATGATATTTCCAATGATGAACGATGAATGATATGAATTTTTAGGGCTTCAATGGTAGTAAAGTGGGTTAAATTTTATGCTTCATCGGTCAAATTGTTTTTTTTTAACATTAAAATATAATTTGAAGTTATTTACAAAATAATATATATATAAATAAATATATTTTATTACAAAAATAATAATAAATTAAAGTATTTCAAGGCTGTAAGCATGAACTATGTTGAATGCATGCAATAAAAAATAAATAAATAAGTTTTACAAGTTTTGGCACTAAAGATATTTTCATAAAAATTTGTTTGTTTGATCAATATTTGTAATAATAATATTTACAAGCACGCAAATTGTAATTTTCTTTTCATTTGCAATCAGAAAATGTTAAATTGTGAAACAAATGTAAAAGATATATAGATACAGATACTCATGCATAAAAAACATTAAATTGTTTGGAAGAAAATGTATAGAAAATGTAAAAATAAAAAAGTTGTGTGAAATCATTTTGAATCAATCGTGTATAAAAAATTCTTATGTTGCGGCTATGAAATGATGTTTGTTTTTCGATTTGTGATAATCTCAGCTTGACACATTTCTAACCTTTTTACTGCGGTCATTTCATGCTGCATTTATCGGCAAATGTGCAACAAATGCCACAAGTAAAATACAATGCCACACATTGTTTATATTGATTTCTTATTTATATATTATTTTATTTTTTATTTTTTTATAATACTATATATATTTGTTATTATATATATTTGTGTTGAACTGCTAAACAAATGTTTATGAAGACAAATTACTTTCAACTACTAACTACTGCTTTCTATTTATGATGTTTTTCCTATTATTATCAGTAGTGAAATTTTTAGAAATTTTTACTTTACTATTTTTACTATTTTTTAAGGTAAAAAAATGTCAACAATAAATAAAATACAATAAAATAAAATAAAAATTTGGACTTCGCGCTTTAGGGGTCTCTCTGTTGTAACCTGGCCTTATTTCTCGAAAATAATCATATGCGCACAACGTGACAAAGAAAAAAGTCAATAACATATGTAATAGATTTTACATATTTATGTAATATGTAATTTTCTCTAACTCACTGTGACGTCATAAGCAATTTATTTTCTCTTAAACCTTTACTGAATTAATTAACACATTTAAAAATAAAATAAATTTGGTTTGATTTTATCGAAACTTAAATAACCTTCAGACAGAGCTATCGAGAATTCTTCATGGAAAATTTTTAGGTTAAAAGCATGTATATATAATAAGGCACCTTTATAAAAATTAAATTCAATTGATAAAATAAATTGTAATGTCGTTTGGTTTTATTATATTTTTGTAATCAAATGTGAATATAATCTTCGTAATGTATGGAATTGAAATGAAATATCCCTCTATATCTCCATGTTTATAGTGTCTTTGTAGTATATGGAATTCAAATGAAACATCTTCTCTATATCTCCATGTATCCATATTTACAATGTCTATGTAGAATCCGCGATATTGTATGAATCAAAAACTTGGTTGGTCAACAGTGGTTGGTCAAAATATAAAGAAAACTTCAAAGTTTTACCAACAGATGACTGCTAATAATTTGAGAATTTGGTGGTCACGTAGAAGTTAAATTATGGAACCTCTTAAACAAATCAAGAAGATATCAACAAACAAATCCAGCGTCGGAAATATAATTGTCTTGGCCATACTCTTTGAAAGCCGTATGACAAAATATGCCACACAAGACCCTAATGGAATCCCCAAGGCAACAGACACAGAGGAAGACCATGTAATGCCTGGTGAAGAATGATAACATATAAAATCGGCAAATTTTTACTTAAATTACCTTATATTATTAGATATAGAAAGAGTTGGAGATTCTATATAACAAGTCTATACTCCTGATGGAGTACGGCTAATAATAATTATAATAATTTGAATGTGAAATAAATAAAGTACTGAGATCAAAAGATTTTTTGTATTACACTCTACTATAATAGATAAAAACCATATTTAGTCCCATTACTCTCAAGAGTTCAAGAATGTTCGTTGGATTTATCGTTACTGATTCTTTACCTGGTATTGGGTATAATCCTAATATCTTTTTTATCTCTTACGTACTAGTTTATCGTATAATATATCGTATAAAAAAAAGAAGACTCAACCAAGCAGTTTCTATACTGTAATTAAAGAAATGGGGCTTAGAAAAATACTCTGAATCCATGAAAGTGATGCAATATATCACTACTTTGCCTTGTGAAATCTCCCAACGTAATAATAATAATATTAGTAAACATCATAATAATAATAAACACTAGTATTTTTTACCGAATACTAAAAAAAAATTATGCATATATTATTCGCTTACGTTATATTAAAACGATTTAACATTTTTTTTTTTTTTCAAAATTTAACATATAAATTAACGCTAGCCATTGAATTTAAATTGTATTTTAAAAATAATCTTTTTTAATTTTTTTTATCACAAGTTTCGCTTACAGATCTCATTTCTGATTAAATATCAATTAGGCTACCAATTGCAGCAGCACATTAAGATGCATATAAAGCGAATGGCAAAAATTTGTCAAAGCCTTCAAGCTACAATTGAGGTTCAATTTAGCCTCGTTCACATGACAACACATTTTCCATTGTAGACTGTATCACACATGACATCGGTGCTCCAAAATGATTATAATTATTTTACTTTACTTTTGCTCGGGTAACAGACTATTTCAAACCGCTTTCTTTTCAATAAAACCACACTGTATTAGCGTTCAACTCCATTAAGTAGGCGTGCCAAACAATAGCGCTAATTGCTAGTGCTTAGTGCGTCTCAAATTGACTTTGTCAATCGAAGAAGCAATTAAGTTGTAACCAAATTTGGTATAAAGTCTATCGTTTTAAATTAATTTTAAGTTTAAACAATTAAGATGGTTTTATTATTCGATACATAGTATAATTATTTTGTACTTATTATTTCTCATTGACAGAATGACTCCTATGATCTTGCACTCTGCACACTAAATAGCAATGGCATCGGTGCTGTTGTCGGCGCTTTGGATTGTTCACCATTAAGCAATAATATGCATCATCATACGACAACGACAACTGGTGGTGTAAATGGTGCACCCGGTGTTGTTAGTAATGTTGCATATCAACACCACATGAACTTAAATCATCACCATATATTAAACCACCATTCACCGTACAGCAATAACTATCCACTTCATCATAGCAGCAGTCATCATATACACAGCGATCAGACGAAATCGCTGCAAGAACTGCAACATGAGGTCGGTGCACTACTCGAGTTTCGAGATCTTGTCATTGAAACGTTTCCTGATCTTAAACATAAAATGGCCTCAATGTCTTCGTCTGCATCTACAGCGGTTGCTGGTTCAACAACACCGTCAGTATCAGCGACAAACACACTAACAGGTGTTATGTCCAATTCATCACTAGCTTCCAGGTTAGTTAATTGAAAAGAAATGTATAAAATTTTGTATTATTTTTTAATTTTTATCATTTATATTTTTTATTATAGACGTGAATGGGAACCTGGTATACGTGTAAAACGTAAATTAGCGCAAAAGGAACCGTCCTCGTCAACTTCGACTGCAGCAGTTGCGGTAAGCACAAATGGTGCTGTTGTAGCTGGTGAATTGTCCTCCTCATCACTAACGCGTAGTCGCAGCAATTCACATAGCGGTAAAAAAGAGCCAAAGAGCGGTGAGAACAATAACGGTAGTGTTGTGCAAGATTCAGGATTTTCAACAGAGACTAGTTCATCAAAGGAGGGTCATAGTGCCTCCTCAACTAATGGTGCTATGACTGTAAGTTTAAATATAGAAAACAATTTTATATGCATATCTTATTAACAAACAATTTCTCTTATAGGGTCCCATAGCATCAAATCGTCTATTATGCCTTGAGTCGGATGATGAGTTGTTAAATTTATTAGATGTAATACATCGGAAATCAAATAGATTACGCGAAGAGGTCGAACACTTACAGAACTATGAGAGAAATAATCTGCGTGGTGGTGTCTCTAATAACGGTGAAGATAATTGTGCTAATGCTCTGACAAAGTCAAATAGTGGCAGTAGCGCTATAAGTGGTTTGACGCCCAAAACTTTTCGTGATCATGTAGAACGTTTAAATAAGGAAGACATTAAACAGTTGCGAAAGGAACGCGATAGACTTTTAGATAAGTTAGCTGAAATGGAAGCGGAAACTTTAACTGGTCGCATTAAAGCAACTAAAATGAATGATCAAATGACAGAGCTGATAACAGTTAAAAAGGATCTCGAAGAGCAACTAAAGCTTGCAATGGCACAAAAATTGGAGCTTAGCTCACGTGTGCAACAATTGCAATTACAACAACAGCAACAACAAAGTAAAAGTTCATCAAGGTAACGCATAATATTTATAATTATTTTATATAATTTATAATATTATAAATTAAATATTTTTTTTATTTTTTATGTACAGTCAATCAGATTACTCGAGTCAACGTAACTTTTTATCCTCGGCCACGACGGTGCTTTCAACCGGTAGTGGCGCATCTCATAATGAAAATCTTGCGGCGGCAGCAGCAACAACAGTTCCTTTACAACAAAATCGTCGTTTAAATACATTCCAACCGGTGGTGGTCGAACAGCAGCAACAAAAAAGTGACAATTATTTAGCATTCCATCGAAGCGCAGGCAGTGATAGTAAAGAATCGCCAGTAGCAGTAACAGCAAATACACTCGGTCGATTGGATGGCATTGTGAGCACACCCAGTGCTAAAAACACAAAATGTCGCGTGACTGACTCTAAACGTTTTGCGGCAATTTTAATGGAAAATAGTGTAGTTGAGCTGCAACGACATTTGTTAACATTGACTGTGCAAAATCAGGTAAATCTTCCACTCAATTCATTTCCACTTTTCAATTCGAAAACTTTTTAACTTCTCTTTTTTCTGTTTTCTGTTTTCTGTAAAGGTTTTAATGCAAAAACTCGATCAAGCAACAAAATCTAAAACTCATATAGCCAAAAGACTGGACAAATCAAAAGAAGATGTTGAAGATTTACGTTTTCAGGTAAAATTTATATAAATATTTGTTAAATGATTTACTACATTGCTTTTTTCACTTCTCACTTTCAGCTTGAGGAGAAAAATATCGAACTCGAAGGTACTAAAGCACAATTGCGTGTGCTGGAGTCACGTATGCATTCATCAACACCAAATAGTGGAGCTACAACAAATTCATATATGCATTCACAAAACGATTATGAAACAAATCGTTCATCTGCTTCGACAACACTAATGATAAGTAGACGCGCTGGTTATGGTATCGATTTGAATAGCAGCGATATGCGTTCAGGTACACCAATATCGCAAAATGGTCATATGCCACAACCAACTGCAACACAAATTTCTACGCCGAGCATGAAAGCTATGGTACACCTTGCTTTGGATGATATACAACAACATAGTAGCAGTACTGAATCGGCACATGATCATGAATTGCAGCAGGATTCTCCGCAAACTATAAACAGTAAATTAATGAGTACTAGTGTTGGTGGTGTAAGCCCATTTGAACAACACTATTCAGCGCGCGGCTATCAAGCAGTAAAAAAGTTTACAACTGCAGCTAGTAAACCAAGTAAAATACCATTACCGGGCAGTAAATCTGGCTCTTACTTTGCAGGTAATTAATATTGTTGTACAATAGACTCACAGGTTAACGAATATTCGATATAACGAACGATGAAATTAATTATTCAAAATAATGAATTTGCCAAATAAGCTCTCTTTAAATAATGAATGTTTTATATGAACTGCATATCTTCAATAATATTTATTATAACATTAACGTAAATTTATTAACTTTGATGCAAATTATGAGCACGATTGCGTATAGACGGCTTAATAGACAATGAACTCAATATTGGCAGAAATTTCAAGTAGAGATGATTATCTATACCTAAATATGCAGATAAAAGTTTAAGGCTTTGAAAGTATATCTTTCGTTATACCAAAAGTCTATTGTAAATTAAAAAAAAAAGTAATAATATTAATCAAATTTGTTCAAATTATAGGTAAACCACCAACTGGTCGCCCATCAACTGCTGGTCGCTCTCCACCTTCAGCTAATATATCTGCAAGTTCGAATGCATCAAGCAAGTCGTCACTTAGTCGTAGTACTGGAAATTTACTTTATAGCAAATCACCAAACAGCTTAAAACGCGCTGATTCTGCACAAAGCGTACGTAAGGATAATTCCTCTTCCTTTAGTAATAATACAAGTCGTAGTTCCACTTCGTCCTCCATACCAATGTCCACAACGCCATATAGTGCCTCAAAATCATATGGCGCTGCGGTAACAAGTCCGTCCCCGAGAGTATTACAAAACTCTCCGCTGCCAAAATTAAAACGAGAATCATTAACATCACGTGTACGCCATTTGGATTCACTATCTCGCATACACCAGCAAACAAACAATAGTAACAATAATAGCAGTGCAAGCGATAATTCACATATGTCACCAACAACACCATTGACACGATCACCGATAACACCACACAATAATGACAATGCTAGCAGTTATTTGGTTAGTAGCACACCTAAACCTAGCGCAATAGCTGCACATCTTAATGCAACATTACGCAAAGATTTACAATTAAGTTCAAATAGCTTTTCGCATGGTTCATCAGCGCAACAACAATTTCAACGGCGTACCACAAATGCTACTACACCAACGGCCACAACAACAACTACTGGTGCCGCCGTCACTACAACGCGCCGCTTTAGTAGTGCCTCTGTAATGGGTGCTCGAATTACAGCAGCGCGTAACCAACAGGAACACAATAACGCCATTGGTGAGAATGGCAACGAACGTAATAGCAATAGTCCAACAGTAAATGGAACTAATATAAATAGTGACAGCGATAGTGGCAAGGTACGCACTTTAAAATCAACTTTTTTGGGTTGGCTTAAGATCTAAAATATGCAGAAATATATAACAATTACACGAACAACTGCTCTATCTTTTTGATATACATAAATCAAATACACATCTATGCATTATGCATACGCATACGCATAACATAAACAAACGCAAATCAAAAAAATTCGCTGAACTAACAAAAACATATATGCATAACATACGTAAATACATACATAAGGAACAGAGTATATAAGCATAATAAATTGTATTTATAAATTAAACGGATACAAAACAATACTTCAGTGTTTAGATACTTATTGAAATAGATATTGGAATAGTGTTATTGTTATTATATTTTGACAGATTTTAATTTTTCTTAACTAAACACACAAATAATAAAAGTAAATTTAATGTTTATATAAAAGAAGACAAAAAATTTATAGATACTATTATTAGATAAATTTTATTTCAAACAACAGTAACTTTGAATAGTTTTCTTCACATATGTTAGGTACATTCGTCAATACAAAAGAAACACAGCGATTCCATCTACATATCTATTCATTGAAATCATAAGGTTATTGTTTTGTAATTGTTTATTATTTTTTTTTTATTTTATGTTACTTACGGATTGGTTATAAGTAGTAAAAATGCTTTTATATATATTGTATTAAGTTTTATAAAATGAGCTATATAAAACGATCAATTATATGAAGTGGATGAATGCATGCCTAAAAGGTTGCCTGACAAAATCAGTTTTGTTTTGTTTTTCTATATATATTAATTTATTTATTTAATATTTTTATTAAGTCACTATAAGAAAGAATTTCCATCATCCAGTTTTATAGTTAAGAATGCTACTTAGATTTTGCAGAATTTGATCTGTTTTTCTACAATTTAATGAACGTTAACAATGTTCAATTTCAGAAATTAAGATAATTTTAAGTGGAAAGTGGATATAAAGTTAAAATTTCATTCCTGCATTGTTTAGAATGAACTGTGCTTATATATAAACTTAAATTTCTTGTATTTATAAAGAACTTAATTATGTTCACACATAAGCACTCATCATGGAACTTCATATATTTTAGCTAATTCTAGCATGCTGTAATATAAGTTATATTAAATGCAGTAATTAAATTACTTGCACTTTTTTTTTGTAAAGAATTACAATAATGCTTCACAGTTTGTTAAAAACTTGCACTTTTCATTAAAAAATGTTCGATTCGAAAAATAAATCAAATTCACAACTTACGCAAAACTTTAATGGAATGCATTAAATTTACATTATATATACTCGTATTTTTTCATATAAATATTTTGATTGCGATACATTGACTAGCAAATCCTTTTAACAATAAAAACAATATCAAAGTTAATATCAAACAATACACTAGTACACCCAACTACATACATAACATATAAAATAATATTATCATCAATTAAATAATATTATCATCAATTAAATAATATTATCATCAATTAAATAATATTATCATCAATTAAATAATATTATCATCATCATCATCATCATATATAGAAACATTAATTTAAAATATAAAACAGTTATGTTATTTTCAAATAGGTTTCTACTTTCATTCATTAATAAGTTGTAAATAAAAAAAAAATAAAAATAATGATAGTAATTGATTTGATTTATAAATGAAACTGAATTTATATATATATATACTAATCAACTATTAATCAAAATATCTATTATAAATAATATATAAATATATTGTATTATCATTTAATTAAGAATGATATATGTTATGCAATTGATAATTTTTATATAAATAAACTATATTATCTATAGTCATGTAAAAATTGTGTTTAATCCTATTAAAGTCTTAAAAAAAAATACTATTATATATATGAGTTATATTTATATATATGTTATTATATATAAATATTTCTTTTTAAATTATATGGTTTAATTTTTTAACTTTAAATACATTATTTTATCAAATTTGTGTGTAATTTTTTATAAATTAATTTTAATTATTATTTTATGTTTTAAGAGATATTGACTTGCCTGTGTAGTAACCAATAATAATAATAATAATAATATAATTAATATTAATTTTTAATTTAATTTTATATATATATATATATAAACATAAATGATTAATTTGTAATATATAAACATTTGCATAGTAATTGTTTTAATTTTTTATATAATATTCGTAAATAAGTTATTCGTTAAAGTTTTTAATTGCCATTTCTCATCATGGTAAAATACATAACTAAAGCTTAAATTTTTTTTATACATAAGAAGAAAATGTTTTAATAATAATTCACACGCAAAATAAACATAAATGCAACTTCTTTTTATTTAAATACCTTATCATATGAAATTAATACGTTAATTTGTAACGTCAACGTTTGGAAAAATTTTAGAAACCATTTTAATTTATTTTAAAAATCTGTTCATGACGCAATAAAATAAATATATATAACATTTACATAATGGTTGTAATAATGTGATAAAAGAATAGGTATTTATTAGAACAAATAGTGGTACACTGCGATCTATGAGATAAATTGTATTCGAAATGATATATATGTAATATAAAGCATTACAATATTCGAGCAGCTTGAATATATTCAAATTCGTATATTTGAATCGAATACTGTACATGTTCGAAAAGTTTTAAGTTGCTCGAAAATATTTGCGTGGCTCGAAATTGATTCACCTATTCGAAAATATTCGAACTACTTGGATATTTCTTTTGCTTATTGTTTCATATTTTTGTTTTGTTTTGCTTTATACAATACGTATAACTAGAAATACTTGAACACAGTATGGTGTTCAAATAATTTCGAATACTTCGCTGTCAAATACTTTAGCACAAACATATTCGGTCATCAAAGCTTCATTCAATTTGCACAATATTTGAAGCACTAAAATATATATACAAAAAATAATATTCAGCGTGAAATACAGCAAGAAAAACAATTTGGAAGTCTTGGCAAATCATAGTACTATGAAGTGGATGAATTTGGATATCACCAAATGTTGAAGGAATGGATAATACTTAAACGTTCGATTATGATTATAAGTGAGCAGCATTAGAGTAATATTTAGAGTAATAAATAGACTAAAACAAAAGGATTTTATTTTACTGTGAGATTGAAAAATCAATTGTTGTTCACTAAAAATCGAACGCAAATTCACTTATCATGTAATTTGAACATTAAACAGACATATTAAATCAATATTTGTTAAAAAGTTTTTAATAACTCTGTGTATAGAGTATTAAAACTCTAGCTATGCCAAAGATAACTTTTAAATTAATTATATATATATGTCCAACGTCAGAATAAATCGATTTTATGCATTCAAAAAATTGATCTTTCTCAGTTGAAGTTTATCTTACTAACACATTCATTCATAATTTATTTGAAAAGGGCTTTACTCTTTCATTTTCCTTTTATTTAAATTTATGAGTTTTTTGATATATAGTTTTATCTTAGTGTTGACATCTATTTTGCACGAAAGATTTGTTATAACACTTAATGTAATGAAAATTTTCTACACTGTCCAAAATTTGTGAACATATTTTTTACATATAACTTATTATAAACAATTTTTTCTATGATGTCCAGAATTAGTGAACATATTTCTTATATTTTACTTCATATAAAGATAACTTTCTACAATGTCCAAAATTTGTGGATCATTTTTCTTATATATAAATATATAAACCAATTTTTCTCCAATGTCCAAAATTTGTGGAACATTTAATTTTTATATTTAACTTAATAAAGAAAATTCTCTACTATGTCCAGAATTAGTGAACATATTTGTTGTATTTGGCTTCATATAAAGAGAATCTTCTTGAATGTCTGGACACATTTTTTATATGTATAGAGAACATTTTAACTTCGTATAAAGAGAATTTTCTGTAATGTTTAAAACTTCTGGAAAATTTTTCATTTAATATTTTTATAAAAAAAAAAATTATTTAATATTTTATATAAATTTCTGGTGCAAAATAGATGTTAGTACTTTATTTTGCGTATAAAAAAAGATATGTTATTATAAATTTATCGGTGAAACTTCAAAATTTTATTGGCCAATTATTATGTACGGTGCTCTGATATCTTTACATATAAGATGATATGGATAATATATTACCATTCATTATTTATTTGATTGGACAATCATTTTGTTGATCGATTGTTATTCTATACTTTTAAACTAAGTTAAAGGAAATCAAATTTGAACTAATGAAAATATTTGGTTAAAAATAAATTAAATAGATATAAAATTAGACAGCTTAATTCATTATAAGTTAATTTTTTTTATAAATAAGATAAATTAAGTTATATTAGGAACTTGAAACGACTTCTTTGCAAAATGAGAAGTAGAAGTTTGCCTATAAGTAAAATATTTTTAAAGCAAAAACTAAGACTTTTAGTTGGTGTAAGGATTTTTCAAAAACTTTAAGCAAAGCTTTTTTTAAGATGGAAAAAATATTTTGATTACTAGGAAGACATCACGAAGTTGTTGTAATAATTCAACATAAGGCGTTACTGGTCTTAGAAACCAGTATGTATATAAGGATTAATCGTATATGACATAAGTATGGTTGTTATCTGTTTTTGCAATTATCCACCTCGCAATGAAAGCAAATATTTTTTTGTGAAAAATATCTATTTTTTTAAAACAAGATCCAGAAGACTACTTTATCGCTTAGATATATAGCCAAATTATATTATAAACTATATATATAAATAACTTGAAAATTACTTTATAAACGTAGTTGTGTTTTTTTAAGTTAATGCCTGTAATTTTATTGTTATTTAAAAATAAAGTAAATCAAAATCATTACAATAAATCATTATTAAAATTAATCGACTTCATTGTAATTAAACATTTTCATTATATTAATTCATTCGCTATGGTTTTCTTCGCCTCATCTGCACAAACACCATTAACCTCGTAGTCTTATTAACTAATATTTCACTTCACTTCGGTTCAGTTAAAATTTCACACTATTTAACTAACATTTTTGTAATTCCATAATATATATAATAATAGCAATAATATTTTATTAATAAAGCCACGCCCATTATAATCAAATATGAATGTATAAAATATATGTATCTAATGCTTAAATATTTTTCTTTTTATTTTTCCTCCCAAAATCTCCGTCTCTTATCCTGTGTACTACATAATCAAACACAAAAAAACACATGTTCAAATGCTAATAAATGTTAATTATTTTAACAATAAAAACGTTAACTATAACATAAAAATAATTACATAAATATTGAAACTTTTAATTCAATTAAATTAATTAATGCAAATAATCAAACTTCAAAAAACACAAAAAAAAATCGTACTCCTTGACATAAACAAAATCCAGACCAGCAA